TTTTCTTTTTATGGTGGTTTAGGGCTAAATATGGAGAACTTTTTTATTTTTTATTTTTGGATTCCTTTTTGTACTTTATTATATAATATATTAATTGATAGTTATTATGGTAATTATGGCAAGTGTTATGGATATGGATGGCAAGTATTGTAATGGCAATAGTATGATGGTGGTATTTTATGAATAAGCTTTAGGGTGGTTGGCACTTATTGTAATTGGTAAGTGTATATATAATGACTACATCTATATTTTTCTATAAATGGGAAGTTAGTTAGTTAGTTAATGACTTAGTTGTTAGTGTGAATGAATTTATAGAAATATTTATTACCATCTAATAAAGCACCCAGTTGTGCTTTGAATACATACAATAAAATTTGGATAAAGGAGAGGTAAAGAGTAAACATACAAAATTAGGGAAACATTAAAGACTATTTGTACTTGTTTACAATCAACTACAATTTGCCACAAGGAATCTAGTACACATTTTTTGTAGATTTTTTAATTAACATTCGGTCACTCTTAATTATATTAAAGTATACATAATATCATATTTCTATAGCTTATATTAATCATCCCCTTTTTTACACTATAATAAAATATTCCAAGACTATATCCATTAGCTAATCCTAACTCAAAATATCAAAAAGTGTAGATCCAAAACCATAAACATAGCATCTATTGCCCACTTCTAGATTTCGCTTCCTATTTGACCTAATTCCGATATAGAAATTACAACATAATTGTGTGCAACATCAAGCTAATATTAAAGTGGATTGAGATATCCACTAGCTTGGTAGAAGAGATTTTCAAGCTCTCAATTTTTGGCCGAGCTAATTGCATTGCTTACACCTTATTATGTCTGCCCTTGTATTTTTTATCGTAGGAGATCCTTCACCATCTTGCCTTATCCTTCTATATTTTTTAGCCTCCTAATTCTTTTCTTCAATTTAGGTTGTTTGATTTTTTTCACTTCCATCAATTGCTTCATAATTAGTTTCATGTACTAGGATGAATATGCCCTGAGTATGTCTTACCATATTTTTCAATTGAGAAATATGGATTACAAAAATCTTCTACGTTAGCTCTCTTGTATCATATGCATAATATAAGATGCTTACAGTGCATGCTAGATTTCTCCCACCAATTACAACTACTTACCAATTATATCTTATGCATAATATAAAAAAGTTATTCAATAGATTTAAATATGGATAAGCCAAGGATTCAAAATATAAATATGATATGATAAACTGATGTGGAGCTATATATAAATATAAATATGGATAAGCCAAGGATTCAAAATGTGGAACCATATATTACATTCCATGGATTTCCTTCAGAAACGCATGCAATGAAGGGTCGGAGATGGCATGAAAATTAGAGTTTAGGTAGACCCTCGGTTATTTATGATCATAATTTTCGTGTTCAATATTCTATACTTGTTGGTTAATAAAGATCTTTGTATGAAAAAGCTTCTTTATGAACCTGTTAATGATAAAAACAAATTTCATTTCACTAAAAACAGTAGCATATATACAGTAAGAAATAGTCCTTCTCTTTGAATAACATTACCAAATTAGTGATAACGTTAATGTCCTGACAGGAAGCGAGGTGTTCCTGTGGCTATTTTCACCTTCTTCAACTGTTAATTTATTCAGCATAGCCATTATTTGCTGTAGCTAATCTTGAAATTGGGATTTGAATTGTTTGATTTGGTTTTCGAAGCGCTTTTCAGTTTTAGACTACCATGGACTCTGTAGCGACGCGTTCTTCTTGCAATACCGACCTGATATTATCGCTATTATGATTGGCTTTAATACTAAATTGGTCATAACTTTTGTGATAGAGAGAACTCAAACTCGAGATCTCACTTGCCACTTTTTTTAAAAGACATGGGACGATCAATTAGACCACACCTAATTGGCTGGAGGGTGTTACTATCTTTCAATTCTAAAAATTCTATTGATAGTTACGATTACCTACTGAATTTTTAAATGGTAAAGACCTCTCAGCTAATTTTTTTTCGACCAATAGTTATTCTATCGGTAATTTAGTGGCAAAATATATGTCGGTACATCAACTATTTCTACCGATGAAATTGAATTTCAGTTATTTAGAAATTTTTCGATAATATTTTGTAGATAATCTGTAGGTATTTTATCTGTAATTTTATTGGTATTTTATCAAAAATATTTATTATTATTTATTCTTAATTTTTCAAAATTAAATTATTTGATCAGTAATTCCTAAAAAAATAATATAGTAAGACTAAGTTTACAATTTTTTATTTTAAATTTCATTTAAGGAAAACAATATAATATAGAATACAAATCAACAAATTTTTATATTTTTTATAGGAAATCTAATAATAAACTATTTGCCATAATCTTGATTTGAAATATTTGATCAAGTTGAAAAAATATAATACATGTGTTATAGGCGGTTGCTCACTTCACTTGATGACTATCTATGGCTACTATTCGAATCCATAGTATTTGTACAAGTCTGATTTAATCAGCTTCAAATTTCTTCCTAATACTAGAGAGTTGTAATAGTACATAAATGAGTTTTTATATTTCAGATTTACTAAAAACTCTAGCAACCTAAAACTTGCCCATGGTCTAATTCCGCTTAAATGCCCTCAAGTTTTTGCCAGTGACATAAATGTTCGTTAGCTTTGGATTATAAAAACTTTTAATTACTATTTTAGAAATTAAAAGAAAAATAAAAACTAAGTTTGGCCAAACGATAAAAATAACATGCAAAATAAAATTCTTACATCTTATATAAAAAGAAGAACTAATAATGGTTTTTTGAAAAAAAAAAAAAAGTAAATAAATTAAGTAAATAAAATATTTCTCAATTTCAAAATTATTTAAGGGTACTATTGTAATTTAATTTCAATTTCTTTTTCATATTTTTACATAAATTATCTATGCTTAAATTCTAGAAAAAACTTGAATTTATATATATAAATAAATACAATAATATTATTTTCCTTTTGGTTTTTAACCATACAGTAGCCAATTGGCCCAATTAATCCGGATTCGCAGTAAATAGGCTTATAAAAGGGGCAAAATACTCCCTTCTAAGTGTTTAAAGGAACTTCATATATATGGCTCAAACTCGAGATCTTTGGTTAAAGAAGAAAGAATCCCCGTCATCCTATCTCATCCCTCGAATGTAACAATATTATGTTGTTTGGATTACTTGCTAAAAAACATATATAGCTGCAGTTAATCTTTCCCTTTTTAACCCTAAGTAAATTGTGTATTGTGAGAGAAATAAATTTTAAAAAAAAAAACGCATATGTTGTTTGGCAATATTAACGAAGATCTCTAAATATCTTCAAAATAGATATTTTTTATAATAGTTGTTTGACTAGTCTAAAAAACTTTTTTCTATGATAATTAAAAATGGAGATGTTAATGAATATATTTAATTCATTATAATAAAATAAATCGATCGGATTAGCTTTCGGTTTTACTAAAACATATCAATCATTTTTTTATTTATTGATTTTTTAAAAAAAATAAAAAAATATATATACACATTTTATCAAGAATGCATTATTTCAAACATTTTTAATCAACATGTCAAAAACACAATATTTAAAAAAAATTGAGATTTAAGAACAAATATATGAGACAATGACTATAACTGCAGTAAATCTTTATTTTTTTAACCCTAAGTAAATTCTATACCATGAGAAAAATTTTTTAAAAAAAAAAGTGCATATACTGTGTAATAGCATTAGTGAAGATCTCTAAATATTTTTAAAGTAGGGTTTTTATTATACTTGTCCGATTTATTCTCAAGAACTTTTGTATATAATATTGAAAAACGGAAATGTAAAATAAATATAAATTAAGTTACGTTATTTTAAAATAGATAAAGAATACATTATTTTAAAACTTTTTTAATCACCATATTAACAAGAAAAAATTCAACAATATATAAAGAACTATAATGAAAATTTTTTAGAATTAAAGAAAAAATGTATAGCACTATGACAATAGTTGCACTAAGTCTTTCCTTTTAACTCTTAAGTGAATTGTGTATTATGAGGAGAAAAAAAAAAAAAAAAACATATTAACAAAGAAAAAAATTCAACAATATATACAAGAACTATAAATGAAATTTTTAGAATTAAAGAAAAAATGTATAGTCACATACGAATAGTTGCACTAAGTCTTTCCTTTTAACTCTTAAGTGAATGTGTATATGAAGGAGAAAAAAATAAAAAAAAACACATATGTTCGTGCTTAAGATTAATGAAGATCTCTAAATATAAAAAAAAAAAAAAAAAAACACATATGTCGTGCATTAAGATTAATGAAGATCTCTAAATATCTTCAGAATGAGCCTTTTACATACTTGTCCGACTTAGCTAAAGGACTTTCTTTATGATAATAAAAAACGTAAATGTAATAGATTTATTTAGTTTATTACAATAAAATAGATCGGTAAGGACATATCAATCGCTATTTTTTATTTATTAATTTTTTTAAAAAAATTTGTTACTATTTTTGATTGAGTGATATCAAAGTTATTTCCACAACTTTGAAATTCAGAGCATGACAATCTTCTGGACACAAAGATGTAGTAGGATAAGGAAATCCGTTCTCCCGAAGAGGAAAATTAAGAGCTTCATTATATGTTTACCCAAAAAAATAATAATAATAATAATAGTAGGAAACCGAAATAAAGTAAAATTAGTACATCATAAAGAAATCATAATCAATAATGACTCAGCAAGAAAGCAATTAGTAACCAAATCTGGGAAATAGAATTTAATTACAATGCACACGTGGCAATAAAGAATCTGAACCGTACAGTATGTTTACAACAACTGAAGACGTAGACCAAAATTTGGATAAGGCCATAACCCACTCTTTTGCCAGTTGCCTCCTTATCAGCCATTATAAATACCCATGCAAATCCCAAACACCAAACACCAAAACACACTCTTTTTTCTCTTCTTTACGGAAACAAAAAATATGGAAGCTCATTCTACCACCAAACAACCACCCTCTTCTCTTCCGCCTGCGGTGGCTCCGCCTGTTAAAGCAAGCCCTTTAAGAAAAATTGTTGTGGTGGCTTCTATTGCAGCCGGAGTTCAGTTTGGTTGGGCTCTTCAGCTTTCTTTATTAACTCCATATGTTCAACTTTTAGGCATTCCACATACCTGGGCTGCCTTTATTTGGCTCTGCGGGCCTATTTCTGGCATGCTAGTGCAACCTATCGTCGGCTACCATAGCGATCGTTGCACTTCCCGTTTTGGGAGGCGCCGCCCTTTTATTGCAGCAGGTTCTGCTTGTGTAGCTGTTGCTGTGTTCCTCATAGGTTACGCAGCTGACATTGGTCATCTTTCCGGTGACTCTTTAGGGAAAAGTCCAAAAACCCGAGCAATCGCCGTTTTCGTTGTCGGTTTTTGGATTCTTGATGTCGCTAATAATATGCTTCAAGGTCCCTGTCGTGCTCTTTTAGCTGATCTTTCTGGTACTAACCAGAAAAAGACCCGTACAGCTAACGCTTTATTTTCCTTCTTCATGGCAGTCGGTAACGTTCTTGGTTACGCCGCCGGTTCTTATACTCATCTTTACAAAATTTTTCCGTTCACCAAAACCATCGCTTGTGATGTTTATTGTGCAAATCTCAAATCTTGTTTTTTCATATCCATATTCTTGCTTTTGATTTTAACGTTGATAGCTCTCTTTTACGTTAAAGAAAAGCCTTGGTCGCCGGAACAGGAAAACTCCGGCCAGAGAAACGGTCAAGTTGACGATGATGAAGAAGAAACGCCGTCGGAGTCAACTCCGATGCCGTTCTTCGGTGAAATATTATCTGCTTTAAAGAATTTGCAAAGACCCATGTGGATTTTACTGTTGGTTACTTGTTTAAATTGGATTGCATGGTTTCCTTTCTTGTTGTTTGATACCGATTGGATGGGGAGAGAGGTTTTCGGTGGTGATTCAAACGGCAATGCAGAGGAGCTGAAACTGTATGATCGTGGCGTACGCGCCGGTGCACTCGGTCTTATGCTTAACTCGGTGGTTTTGGGTTTCACATCTTTAGGTGTGGAGTTTTTGGCGCGTGGTGTGGGTGGTGTAAAAAGACTGTGGGGCATTGTGAATTTTATTCTTGCCATTTGTTTGGCTTTGACTATCTTGATAACTAAAGTGGCTGAATCGCATAGACGTTTCACCACCGTCCCCGGCGGAGATAAAGTACCCTTGCCTCCTGACGGTAGTGTTAAGGGTGGTGCATTGGCCCTTTTCGCCGTGATGGGTGTTCCTCAAGCTGTAAGTTCATTTTACTGCCTAATATAAATTCTTAGTCTTTTGTTTGTTCCTGCACATGATTCACAGCCAACCCATCTTACCGTATCTTTCTTTCCTTATTTCCTTCCTTCTTTTTCTTTTTTCTTTTTTTTTTTTTTAACCCTCACGACTGTCCCGCTCTTTCAAAAAAAAAAACAAAAGAAAAAAACTAATCTCAACTCTGTTTCTCTTTCCGTAATTAATTTTTCACGTATTAAACCCTGGGGTTACATATATCTTTTAACCTTACCATATCTATTTAGGAAAATATCTTCATCTAAGAGAAAAAAAATATTTTGATTTAGCGAATTATTTTTAAAAAATTACATATATATATATATATATATATTCAAGAAAAATATTTGAATTTAGCGAATTATTTTTAAAAAATTCACAATATATATAATATATAATATATATATATATATATATATATTTGGTATTTTGTTTAAAATTTTTTTCGTTTATGTTGGTTGTCTTGAATACTCATACAAATAATACCGACATCTTTTCACATGTGATTTTCTGTCTTTTTATATTTTCGGTTGTCATTCAGATTTTGTCATGTTCTTGTACACTTTCATTACTAATTTATATTTTTTTTTCGTTAATAAATATCCTTACACATAATTATGTTATTTTAAAAAAAATTCTATTGTACTTATAACCAATAATAAAAGATGTGTATTAAGAAAGTTGGACTAAAGTGAGAAAAAAAAAAAAACAAAAGTGTAGCCATTTAATGAGAGTCTGTAAGCATTCATTGGAATTTGTCAAGTAGCTCTGTTTTGCAATCAATTTTGGGAACATCTACAGATGATGTTTTAATTGAAATTAATTTGAACAAAAGAAAAGAAACTGTCCTTTCAATCTTATCTAGAAGACCATACTTTGTTCTCTAATGGGAGAATATTAGGTTTGTCTAATTTGTATAGAACATGTATTACCTTTATTTTTTTTCTTTAATTAATTTATTATATATCCAGCCTTTTAATTTTTTTTCCTCCATATCTGAACCAGAGATTAGTGAGAAATCATAATTAATTATTTAATTATTTAATTTAATAACATTTTTTTTAATTGTGTTTGTATGCAGATAACCTACAGCATTCCTTTTGCTTTGGCATCAATATTTTGTAACGATGCTGGTGCTGGTCAAGGTAATTAAATATTTAAATTTGGTTTATGGCAAATTAATGAAATATATATTTTACTCTAGTTTATTTTTTTTCCTCCAAATATATGAGCATAAATACAATTGTTTCAATAAATAATTATTTTTTATTAATTTAGTGCATGTGTGCATTTGTAGGCTGGGCTGGGTCCAGATTACATACTTTTCCTTTTTAAGCTATTAAGCTATTAAGCTATTTTGGATTTCCTAACTCATTTCAATTAATCTTGTCAGGTCTTTCTTTGGGAGTTCTGAACCTTTCAATAGTTATACCACAGGTATGTTTAATTTCCTTCTTTTAATAATTTTTTTTTTTAAATTCTGACTTGAAAAACTAATTTAATGTGAAAATTAATCCATTATACAATATATTATAAATTAAAAATCCTAAAAAAGATTTGCCAATTTAAAAATGGCAGACATAGAATTGTTCTTGACCTTTCTATTGTGTAATGATTAAGAGCGTATATATATTTTCTTGTAGAAGCACATGTGGACAATTTTGTATGGGCTACACTGACATGGCATCTTTTGTAATTATTGAATTAGTCAACAACATTACACTACATTACATGTTTCTGTTACTTCACTATAGTATAAAGTTATCTATACACAAGCCAGCATAGGATCCCCATACAATTATACAAATGCTGGCTTTACAAATTTTTAGAAAAAGATGAATCCACCTTTTTCAAACAAGCACAATGTCAGTCTTTCCTTCTATTACTCATATTCTTCACACCAATTAATATAAAAATAATAATAATAGTAAAAAATGTCATCAAAATAGAATATTAATTAAGTTTTATTTTGTGTATATGGTTTTTTAGAACTCAATTATTTGTTTATAAAAAGAAATGATTGGATAGAACTTTTTAGTGTTCGGTGGAAAATATAAAAGGAGGAAATCTTTCTTTGCCAGCTTTAACAGAGAGTTTTGTAACTCAACATACATAAGCCAACTTTTTAATGTTTGCTGATAAATGGATAACTTTATTTGCAGATGGTGGTGTCGGTAGCAAGTGGACCTTGGGATGCATTATTTGGAGGGGGCAATCTGCCAGCTTTTGTGGTGGGGGCAGTGGCGGCTGCCGCTAGCGGAATATTTGCACTCACATTGCTCCCATCTCCGCCACCGGATCTCCCTTCATCCAAGATGGCTGCCGTGGCATTCCATTGACGGCCTCATTACCATATGTGGATGGAACAGTCAGAAGTTAATTTTTTTTTCTTTACATCCGAAAAAACCTTGTCTAACTCTGCCCTTTTTTTCCCCTGTTTTTCTTTTAGCTTTTTTTTTTTTTTTTTTTTTTTTTCTTTTAGCTTTTTTTTTTTTTTTTTTTTTTTTAAATTTAAAACAGAGATATGTAAGGAAGGCCAAAATGTTTTTTTTTTTTTTTTTTTTTTTTAATTTAAAAGAGATATGTAAGGAAGGCCAAAATGGGTCACATCTGAGTTGCAGTTGACTCGCTGTTGTGATGGGGTCATCAATGGCCACAAATGGACGTTTTGATGACTCTGGATGTTAGTGGCTGTACACATATCTATGCTTAATCTCCAACCAATGTATGATATACAGTCCGGTTTAGTCCTCCATACATCTTCACCTAATTTCTCCATTGTATGTTAATTTGAGCTTTTAGCATCTCCGCATTTACTTCAATTATTTGCACTATAGCCTTTTAGATAGTATTTTATATAAGGTTAATTCGTGAAATGTTTAATTTTTAACTTTTTCATAAAAAACTACTAAAGCAACTAAACACTAAAAATATTTATTAAAATAACTAAAAATTACCATAATATCTAACTAAAATAACTAAAAATTATCATAATATCTAATTTTGTCGAATATGCTCTATAACTTGCATCACATTTATCACAGTTAGATTTACAATTTATAATCAACCTAGTATTAAAATGTATCTAGACCTGTGAAATTGCATTTTCGAACCTTAAATTAAAATCTAACTAACCAAATAAATTATTATTAGTAGTATGAGAATTGTAAAGTAAAAATAATGACAAACTGATGAGATCATTAGAGAGTGATATTAAAATTAATTTTATCTCATAATGCATTTTCTCCTCTAATAATTGAAAAAAAAATACTAATATGATTTTAAAAATATAAAAAAATGTTCAAACATCCATCCTAGTGTTCCTACAATTTTTGGATATTTCAATTAATAAATAGAACTCATTTTATTCGAGTTACTTTTGGATTTCCTTCTTGAAACGCTCTGATGTGATTAATTTTTCATAAAAATAGCCCAGCCCAAGATGAGCGCTCTCCTATTCCACACCCCCAGACTCATATGGGAGACAGCAGTAGGGAATTTTCTGCAATGGGCGAAAGTTGAGGTGAATGCTCGACTCTAATTGTAAATTTAAAAAATTAAATAAAGGAGAGGGGAGGTTAAGATTTGAAATCTTAACTCCTTTATTACATCATAAATATTTAATAAATAAGTCAATTAGTCCAATAATTGAAAAAAAAAATTTTTTTTTGGTATCTTTAAAACAACAGAATTTTGAAGTTACAGATTTAATCTAGTTAGGTTGAAGCATCGAAACCTAACTAGAAAGCATCAGAACCTAACAAGAGTAGAATAAAAGCAAAAGAGAACATAACATATATTCCTAAAATTACTTTTTAATACAAAAAAAAAGAAAAGAAAAAGAAAAAGAAAAATTAAAGGTGGAAATAGTGGTGGTTGTGGCGTCTTAACGGTGGCCCATCTGTTTGCTTTGTTCACCGCCTTTTCGAGGAAGCAGCGATTTGGTCGGCCCACCTAATCCGTCCCATCAAAATATCGAGTTTGGATAATGACTTTGGATTTGGATTTAGATTTGGATTTGGGTTCCGCTTTTCCTTCAAAACCCAGCACATGCTCTTTAATGTAGCATTGTGGGACAATTAATTAATTTAATAAGACCACATAAAATTACATTCTCATGTATTTATTTTTTAAGTAAATTAATATATAAATAAATATAATGAACAAATTTAATTTAAATAAATTTATTAAATGAACGTCCTACTTTATTTAAAAGACTTGAGTCCTTTTCACTAAGACTAATTCTCATTGATAATATATTTATATTGATGTGATCTTAAATTAATGATGCTATGTGGCATTTTAGGAAACATCGACATAAACTAACAATATTTGGACAATAAATTCATTATTGTTAATGAAATAATATATTGTTTGCAAAAAATTGGAAAAGTGTGAAATGATAAGATAGCTCTTTATATTTTCATTTTTCATTAAAGAAACGAGGATTATAACTTAAAAAGTTATTTCTGATTCAATGGATTTGGTACAGAGTATAGAAACTAATATATTGTTATTACGAGCTTAAGCTTCTTTAGCCGAACCTTTTGACAATAGCAAACATAATTTTCTTTTTTAATAAAAAAAAAAATAGCAAACATAAGTCACCTAATCTGCCTACTTAATGAAATTCAAACTCAAATCTAGACCATTTGTAGACTTTCACCATACCGTAGCAAATATCTACCGCTATGACCATAATTGAAGTAAATATTTCCTTTAAACCTGATGTAAACAGTGTATTCTAAGAATAAAGAAAAAATAAAATGCGGTATATCTTCAAAATAAACTTTTTTATACTTATATGATTAATCTAAAGGACTTTCGTTTTTAATAATAAAAAATTAAAAGTAAATAGATCTATTTAATACATTACTCGTAAGATAAATCAATCAAATTATCTTTTTTTTTTTTTCCACAGGAATAAATCGATTTTTTCTCATTTATTTATTATTTTATTAAATAAATGAAAAGATATATAATTAAGGGATATGATGTTAATAAGGATTTTTTTTTTTTTTTTTTTTTTTAATGAAAAGATATATAATTAAGGGATATGATGTTTTAAATAAGGATTTTTTTTTTTTTTTTTTGTTTTTTTTTTTTTTTTTTTTTTTTATACAAATGACTTCTCTTGCTGTTGGATTATGATTTGAATTTGGATAAGTGCACTTGTTATTAATATATTTATCATGATAAATGCAATATTAAATTGAGTGATGTTAAATGACACAATATGTCTATGCTCAACAAGAATCTTTCATTGAGAATTTACCTAGTTGCCCCACATTTGAGTTGGCAGGTATGTGGGCGGAAAGAAGTGAATGGATATGGTTATATTGTATTGACATTTTTTCTTTCCTTTGGACAAAGTGATTCTCTTTGCAACTGCAATGGTTGAACTATTGCATGCTATAAACTTAACAAGTGTAGAATGCAAAAAAAGTTGAATGGAGATGAAGAGCCTCAAAAGAGTGAAGTGGGTATGCACTCTTAAAAGACGTTGGGGTTGGCATGCATGCATAGATATATTGTTGGACTATGGAAATAGAATATATTGAACTTGAATGCATTTTAGGTAGTTGGGCCTGATGAGAAGCCCAATCTGCTCAAGATGGAAAGAGAAAATAATATCCTGCCACTTAGGTATCTTGGATTTGTTGACCTGCGCTTCGTTCCCAGATATGTACACGTAGCATATTTATTAAGATGCTACCTATCAAATATTCATGATAAGTACATCCAATAAATAATGACACGTATCAAATATTGATGATAAGTACATCCAGTAAATAATGACAACCTTATGGACTCTTCGGTTGATTATGTGATAACAGTTTAATTAAGTATTATTGGCATTAATGATGAGACAAATGCACTATGGAGAAATCATATCATTCAGTGATATTTTCAGAACTCTAGAAATGGGTAGGGATGAGGACCATTTAAACTGGCTAACTAGTAATTTGGCTAATTAGTAACCACACACATTATGTGCACATAATTTAATAGATGGAGTTAAAAAAAAAAAATTTCAATAAATCGGATGACAAATATGTTTAACTATAAGTGGTGAATTGATGGAATCGATTTACTCCAAAGTTAATCCAATTTTTCGTGTTTACAGTAGAATAATTATTTTGTCAGGATGCATTGCACATTAGAAACAAAAATTGCTTAACATTTTAAACAACATTCTCCAAAGACGATAAATTACTAATACATATAGCGGGAGGTAAAAATTGAGGCGCCTGCATATGCACAGTGTCTTAAGCCGCGTTCCATCAAACAATACGCATCAAGATTGTATAAGACAATCACAGCGCAAAAAATAAAATTAAAAAAATGAAAAATAAAAAATAGTCCAAAAGGACGGAACATGGACATTTTACATGGAATTATAAAAACAAGAAAAAAAAAAATCAAAAGATATGAAATAAGAAAAATAAGGAACAAGATGGCATGGAGAGGTTCAAATCTGTATTCCTGCATTGGATAATGTGCTCACATATCATTCAAACCTTAGTCCTCATCCTTTTTTTTTTTTTTTTTTTTCTCATCCTTTTTTTTTTTTTTTTTTTTTTTCAATTTAAGCAAGATAAAAAAAATGTGTAAGAGAGAATGCGTAGATGAAATAACAGAGATTTGGCCTTAGAAAAACTAAAAGAACTATCCAGTTTACAGGTTTATATAGTTAACTCCCATCAAATCTTTTTTTTTTTTTTCCATCAAATCTTTTTTTTTTTTTTTTATTCGTCAGATTGTATCATTTAATTAAGAGAGAATGTGAATTTTTTAATTTCAAATTTCTTTCTCTCTCCGCTAACTAAGCTCAGAATAAGCACATTATAACTATTTTCCATATCCAGATTTCACTTGAGCCTGTCACATTTTGTGCAAAAAATCTTCACCGTATTAGATTTAATAGTTGATAAAGTTACTTTTATGTAAAAATGTTCTTATAATTGAATAATCCTATAATTAACTAGTACTCACATTTGAATGAGTAAATATATATGAATTTTTTCTAAACAGAGCAATCTCGTTGATAATATATATCTTATTTATATTGATGTGACGTTAAATTGACAGTGCGGTGCGACATTTTAGGAAACATCAACATAAACTAACAATATTTAAACAATAATTTAATAATTATTAATATATCATCTGCAAAAAATTGAAAAAGTGTGAAATGATAAGATGCCTCTTTTTATTTTGCATGTTTCATTAAAGAAACGAGGGATTATAACTTAAAAAGTTATTTCTAATTCAATGGATTCGGTAAGGACTAGGTTGCATGGATTTCCGACGTGGGACACGAAATACAAGATATAAT